CTGTTCTGGTCCAGCTGGTTTGGTTCGGCTGTTCTGGTCCGGCTGTTCTGTGCAGTTCTTTGTAATATTGTGAGAGTCCTGCTCAGAGCTTGTGTTGTGAATAATCCTCAGCTACTACCACATCAAACTTTAGCTCAATATCTAGAAAGTTGGTCAAGTTGGAGCCATTTTTCAGTTGCTAAGTTGTTAAACAATAAAGAGGCGAATCCCTTGAACTAAATGTTTTTTTTTTTATCAGAAACTGTTTTGAGATTTGATCTTTTTTTGTTATAAAATGAAATATGACTTTAAACACCTTCGTTATTTTTCTGTCAGTTGCTTTCGCACAGTTTTAAAATCAATGTAAGTTTATTCATACTCCAAGGTTTTTGTTTGTTTTGGCATCGTGTCTTTTCGGGGTGATAGAAAAAGGGAAGGAGGAGATGAATTAAAGAGACTAAAGCACGTGTGAACAGGAGAAGTGCAGACGCCTCCGATGGTGTTTCTACTTAAAACCAGGTCGGCTCATTTACAGAAAATGATCTGCACACAAATCTTGTAAGTAACAGGTTTGTCTGTGTACATAGATGGACTCGTGCATGTGCAGGACTCAAGATTTATTTTATGCTTAATTCCTTCAATAAGATAAAAAAAGGTCAGTAATTGTCCGCCCTCATAAGCCTGGAAGTAATCCTGGCCTCTGGGCACTGACTTGTCTTCTGTTTCTCCCAGATTAGACACTTTCTGACTGTTTCGTTAAAGCATGAAGAGTTTATGGCTGTTTTAAACCCTTTAGGAGACATTTGCTTCTGTTCCCAATGGTTTAGCGCCTGTTTGTGCTTCGGCTTATGTTTTAGTCACATTTTAACTACTAAATAAATTTGCCAGCATGCAATGAATGTTTATGTGTTGACAACTGTATTACATATTTTTAATGTAGCCTTTTCATTTGTTTATTTTTGTCTTCTTAATTTAGTCTAATTTCCGTCATTCTTTGTCTCGTTTGTCAAATTGAAAGATCCTTTTAGTGGATTTGAATATGGTCTACGTTTTTATTTTGTTCTTTATCATTGTTAGTTGCGCACATTTGCAGAGGTTTGACGGACTTTCAAAGAGAAATGTTAATCACTTCATGGAGCCGCTCAGAGATACAGGGGCCTCCTGACCTTGGACATGCGCCAGGTAAGCCCATTAATAATCCTTCCATGCTGGCAACATTGTCCTCAATCAGGATGACGTTTATTGGCATGCAATCGGCTTACTGGGCATTTAGTTCATGTTTTTTTTCTTGCAATAAATTACCCACTGCGTGGTTGGCATCTGCCAGCCTCAGAAAGCCTGGGCGACTGTTGAATCGTGCAGTACCGCCTGTGAGCAGCAGGGGGCGCTGTAGCAGCGCTGCTGCTCACTGACAGCGTTGCACAAATACTTAAGGCAAGAGGCTTTATCATACATTAGTTGGTTTTAAGATAAGATATTTTAAGATAAGACGGTAAAACATTTTACATACTCAGTGAGTCATTGCACAATCACTGAAGGTCACTGACAACATGCCAGAGGACATTTTGCTAAGAAGTGGGATAAGGCCGTGGGAATCGGGTGCGGAAAAAAAAATCAATGAACGAAAACAGATTTAATTAGTGCTGCATATGTTTAAGCTCTAAGAATAGTTAGACACAGTTATTATTAATTTGGCACACAAACCAGCATTGTTATTGTATCTGTGAGCAACATTTTAGTGAATTAAGTTAATTAAGATGTCTTGCCGTGCCCAAGATCCATCACGGTCTATTTTATTTCAGGAACTTTGAGTCTTGTGTCCTCCATCAGCCTGTTGATATAGGATGTTGCTGTGAGCAAAATTTTACTTCCTAAAATGCACTTAAAGGTCAAATTAGTGCACAATTTTAAATGTCTGTCCAAAATATACAGCAATTTTTTAACATCTGGATTCAGATATGACGACACAGTGTGTGTTTCACTGTCTATATGTGACCCGTGCTGGCAAAATGAGCCAGGATGGGCTACGATGCAAAACATAAAATTAAAAATTGGAAATACAGATCTTTGCTGTTTTTGAGATTTACATTTTAAAAAAGTCCATAAAGGCACCATATAGTGATCCTATGTGAATACAAGAGCACATACTTTCCCATATCTAACTTATATTCAACATTTTCTAATAGGAAGCCCTTCAAAAATAATCCTTTGTCTTGTAAAACCCTTAAAATGTCCAGCGAAAGCGATAGTTTTTCTCTGGCTGGAAATCCCTTCGTATAAGGTTTGGCATCATTGTGAAGACTGGGGATTCCTCTTTTTAAACAAAGGGCTGGAATTCCAAATAAAAATTAGGTTTTTAAGCCGGCACTAAAAGTAGCTTGTTGCCAGGCCAGGTGATTGCCAAGTTTGATCAAACTATCCGTCCATTATCTTTTACCGCTTTTTCCATTTTGGTCACGAGGTCGCCGGTGCATGACCATGTCTAGCTATCACTGTGCGAGGGGTGGGGCACACCCTGGACAGGTCTCCAGTCCATCACAGGGACACATCGAGACAAACGAGACAAACAACCATTCATGCTCTCTCTCATAGGGACAATTTAGAGTTACCAATCAGCCTAACATGCATGTTTTTGGTCCGTGGGAGGAAACTGGAGCACCTGGAAGAAACCCACACATGCACGGAGAGAACATACAAACTCCACCGGAAAGGCCCCTGGACCGGGATTTGAACCGGCAACCTTCTCGCTGAGAGGCGGCATCTCTACCAGTTGCTCCACCGTGTTGCACATGATCCAATTCAAGTCAAAGTTTATTTACAGCACATTTAAAAACAATCACAGCAAAAACAAAGTGCTTCACAAGAATTACAACATCGTAGATAAAAATATGATAAAAGAAATAAAATCGAGTTAAAAAAAGGTATGATAAAATTTACAGTAAAATACCATTAAAATAGTACTGATAAAAACCAAGATAAACTATTTCATATTTGCTGCAATTTCCCAAAAAACTTGAATCTATCAGGTACTAATTTCAGTGAAGGCCCGGGAGAACAGTAATAAATCAATATTAAAAAATGTCTCATTGTGCCATTACTATTGTGCCATTTTTTATTCTTTAGAGTATTTTTATTTGTGGAACAAAATTGTGTACACAGGGTCCCAGTTACATCCAACAATAAAATGTAAAAGAAAAACAGAAATAAGCTCTAAGATATGAACTAAAAATATGCTAAGCACTAATGGCATAAAAACAATACAAACTATATATATATAATATTTTGGGTGTTATACATCATACAAATTATATCTAGTACTATATACTATATAGTATAGTACTAACTATTGATAATTATTAGACAGAATATCATTTAAAGTTGACTGGATGTTTTTATAAGCTACAATAGCTATCAAAATACACATTTTAAAAAAAAAATTTATTTTAATTTTTATTATTTTAACAATTTCTACATCATTCAATGATTGGGGGTTCATGTAATTTCATAAAATTTCATTAAAAAAGTGTTTTCAAACGGAAAATATTCCTTGCCTTTGTCCACCGAATGTAAACAAGCAGTTTTTAATTGTTGGCAACAAACCCCGACTTTGTGAAAGTCGCTTATTTATTACAAATGGTGCGGTACACCTGTGGTAGGGAATGATACATATATAAAAAAAAAATAAAAAATAAAAAAATCTAATCAAAAGCATAAAAACGTGTATTCTGACAGCTACTGTGGCTTTAACAGCACCAGAGAGTGTAGTTTGATTATATCTTAAACCGGCCTGCCATAAAGTCCTTGCTTCGTCCACGGCCGTGACGTGTTTCCTGGGGCTTGTACGGACCACTCAGCGGTACACCGGAGGGGTATCATGAGTGTTTATCACCAGCACTTGTCTTTCACGCAGTCTTCGGTCGTTTCACCGTGTCCTCGTCGGTCGTAGCACCCCGGGGTGAGACAACAACAGGTCGGCTCGAGCACGATGTAAAGGAATCGGTAAGTTCCGCCGTTCATAACTTCATCGTCCGCTTCGGTCGCGTTCGGGTTTGTTCGGGTTTGTTCGGGCTGCCGAGCCGCTGGCGCGCCGCCGGGCAGGTACGGTGCGGTCCGTCAGTCAGTTTGAGCGTGTTTTACTCTAATATTTTGAAGCTAGCGGGTGGCGCGCGCATACAAACACACACACACACACACGCACGCACGCGCGCTGACGTCGACTGTGCGCCGCGTCCGGTTTCTGTGGTTCCTGCTCGGAGGAAGAAGTTGGAGCTCCAGGTTCCGCGCTGCTCGGTCGGGCTCGTGTAAAACGTGACTCGGTAACGTTCGTCAGGCGTGGAGGAAGAGGAGGGACGAAGAGGAGGGGGGAGGCACCTGAGGGGGGAGAGAGAGAGAGACACGGACAGGTCGGAGTGTCGCCTCAATCACGGAACAGTCGTCAGGCGGAGTCCTCCTCACCGGATCAGCTCCAGACGCGGTCCCGAGTCCAAACTATGACTGCGTGTCGTTTCCACGGACTCTGAACGACTGAGGTGAGTCGAGCCACTCCGCTGACAAATTACAATCTGGTAAACAAGCGAAGCTGTGGGAGGTTTCCTCGTGCGTTTGTTCCTCTTCAAGAACTTTATCATCCCGGGAACCTCCTGGAGCGCACGGTGGGAACCTTTGGTTTCGGGTCTGTGAAACCCGATTCATGCAAACTGAACTCAAAGATGATCAAAGGTCTGACGTGACTTTACTGTGGATTAAAATACATTTACACTGTGCATTTATAATCTAAAGAGCTGAAGCCTCACATCTTTAATCATATTCAATTCATACATTAAAATGATGGCAAATACAAAAACATGTTTGATTATTTATATATATATATATATATATATATATATATATATATATGTATATATATACACACACACACATCTTGGATTTTTGATTTCAAAGTCTATTAGGAATCGTCAGATACCAATATGCCAAATTTCAGCTGAATAGCTCTAAAAATGGCAGAGTTATCCTTGTTTTTCTATAAAACAGCTGAATAGTAGCTAAAGAAATGTAGAAAGAAGCTTAAATTTTCGTAAGGAAGTGGACGGAGCTTCATTGTGCCCACTAAACCTGAAATAGGGATAAATTAGCACAATAAAGTTGCATTTATCTGAGAAAAGCTGAAATTTGCCCCAAAACAGCTAATAGTAGCTAAAACAAATAGAAAGAAGCTTAAATTACCAGAAGGAAGTGAAGTGAGCAGAAATGTGCCAAAAAATAAATATGAGAGAAGTACATGTTCGCCCGCCGTTGAGGAAGCTGAGACTGACTCCCAAAATAGTCTGAGCCCTTAAAGATTGCACAATTGTTTAAAACGTTCTTAACTGTATGGAGTCAACTTTGTCTGTTAGTAAAATATCTAATAAACTACTGCGTAGGTTTTAATAAACCTTTCAGGAAATGATCGTGCGTTGAATTTACATCTTTGACCAACTTTCGGAGCAAACGTAATCCAATAGGACACAAGTCTAAGCATTAGCCAACACAAAATTATCATGGAGTGTAAATGTTACTTCTCTCAAAGAGAATAATAATAATAAAAAAATAAAAAAACGCAGGTGAGGTTTTCAAGCAGCCGCCTTCAAGAGAAGCTTTGATGCATTTTGCAGCAAAGATGTATGCTGCACATCCTCCAGGAACCATCTGAGCACCATCAAACTGGATGATCCGCTGAGGAGGTGCTATTTATACAACTGAGTTTGTTGCGGCACCTCGGGCTGATGAAGTCCTTTGGATGAAAGACGAAACGTTTCAACAAAAAGAAACCGTCCAGTGGATTTTCTACCTGGATCATTGAGCTCTGCTGTAGTTTTATCGTCCGTTTGCCCTCCTGCTCTTCAAATGTATGTTTTTAACAGCATTTACTCCCCAAACGCTCCGAGCGCCACGTGTTCTGGATAAGCTTCATCAAAAAGTCTTTATTAAGATTAGACCGTTTTAATAAGGGTCGACTTTTGCAGCAGAGCGCCGTGTGTCTTCTTTTACCAAAACTGGTTTATAGTCCTGTAAATAATGCTATTTTTGAATAAAGTAATATCGATCCAGATCTGTAGTTCCTCTGTCAGCAACAGACCACCCAGACGCCTTAAGTTGGACATTTTGGACACGCTCCGTCAACATTTTGCTACATAAGTAAAAGCTTGAAACGTTTTCTTAAAGATTAATTTTAACTCTTGGATCAAGTTTAAGATCCGCGCAGACGAAAGTAAATTACTGCCGCTTCCCCTGTGAAGAAGCGTAATGTTTTAGTAACGCGAGTGTTTCGAATATTCACCTAGTTCGTGATTTTACAGATGCACTAGTCCCTCGCTACTTCGCGGTTCGTTTAACGCGGACTCGCTCTATCGCGTTTTATTTTTTTCCAAAACGAGATTAGACGCGACGACGCACAATTGGCTGGATTGATGGATGGAGCAGCACGATCCGCATGGAATTATTATTCTAAACAGATTATTTAAAATCATTTCGCACCTGCTGCACCTTTGTGCAGCCCTTACTGCGGGATAAACTTCCTGCTGCAGCTGATCAGCTGATCAGCGTGCAGAATGGAGAAGTGGGCGTGGCCTAGAGCACTGGCATTGTGCTCTTTTAGAGCATTTAGAGTTTAGAAACACTGTTTAGAATATTGCAAGAGTGTGGGAAGGGTTTAAAACGCCTTAATAATAATAAAAAAAATTACATATACTTGTACTACTATTCAGTTTTTCACTTATCTGGGGTCTTCAGGGTACAGACCCTCAGTGATAAACGAGGGACTACTGTAGTAGAGGATCTTGCGTTGCTTTTATACTTCTGTGTCTGAGCTCTGCGTCTTTAAATAATATGTTGGACATACTGGATATATTAATACGGTCACTTCTTATGGTCGTGTCCCTTCTGCCTCCTGCAGGCGCAGCGGTAAACACTGCAGAGCATTTTTCCCTGCAAGAACAGAGTTCACGTCATAAAGTGACAATCGGCAGTAACTTCGTCACGCTGGTTAAACGTTTTCAACTTTATTAATTTTATTTTCTCATTATAATCTAAACAACAAAGTAATGAGGCGGTAAGCGTTTCCTTTTCAAATTGTCCTGATGGCTTCGGTAACGAGGACGGTATTATCCTTGGGGTTTAATGATACTTGTCTAATTTGATATGTATTTTTTAATTTTTTTTTTTTACCACATTATCACCGTCTGACGTTTGAAATCGTTCACGGAGACGAGCCGGGGGTTCGTGTGGTTGAACGCTCGGATGAGGGAGGTCACGGCGTCTGCGCTTATCATCACCGCGTGTTAAAAAAAAAAACCCGAACTCCAACAAAGCGTTGCGAGCGTTCACATTTATTTGCTCGTTGTGCAAAGGACAAAGTTGTGTAAGTGACAGTTTTCCCTGGATTCTTAGTTTGCATTTATAGATTTCTTTGAGCATTATATTTATAGTTTTGAGTCGCGTCATGGTAATGTTGGTTTCAGGCGTCCACATTTAAGAAGTAGATTTTTATTTGTTCTTAATTTAGACGGTTAATTATTCTTTTTTTGCTTAAATAAACACAGGTCGTTAAATATTTATTTCTGTTCTGCTTCTTCTAAGTTGTCTAATACTTTGTCTCTGTGAACTTATTCATTTGTAAAATACATGATACTTGTAAGACCTGAACTGGATTAGCAGCTTCTCGTGCCAGACTGGGTTTGGACTGTGCGACCTGGTTTTGATTAATTGACGGATTAAGTTACTGGTTTCCTCCCAACACATCAAAGCAAGTTTTCCAGTTGTTAAGCTGTTTAATTGCATTTTGTGGTAAAGGTGTTTGTGTGAATGATACTTTCAATTTGTTAAATTCTGGTTTTAGACAATAACATTTATTTTTCTTGTATTTTACCAAAGCTGATTTTTATTTTTTTTATTTTTTTAATATTATACGAATCGTGATGAATGCTGGGAAAGATTAAGACAGAGATGTTAATCTGTTGTGTGGGACGTCTGTGGCAATAAAGACTTTCGAGAGAAGTTGTGACAGTGCGTGTTAACACATGAAATGTTGTGAAAAGGGAAGGATGGGCCGAGACACGTTTATTTATTTTTAAAGACGTGTATGCAAATTAAGATGACCTTAATTAAGACTTGAAGGATCATTAAAAACTGGATTTTCTGCCCATGTCATCAAACTGCATAAAGCTGCACCCTTAGAACTGCAGATGTGAAGATTTATGAAACAATATAATCTGCTGATTAATAAAATAGTGTCAGTAAATAAAAAGGTTAGCAATAAAAATACACTCCTTGAAATCACTGCCTAGTAGCAAAAGGAGCTTCAAGTGTAAATTTTGTGTTCGTGGATTCTCTCGTCACTTCAAAAATCAACAATAAAACAACACGTTTATTTTAATCATCCGTTTATATTGTATCTTAAATATATATTAACGGTCACTATGAATTGCAACATTATTAAAGCCATTTTTTCCCCACCCAACATCAAATGCAATTTTAATTACAGCCCGTTACTTTTAAATTAAATTCAAAAGTATGTTTTTAATTTAAAGCATCCTGTCGACGGCGCACCAAGAAGACTTTTCTTTTAAACGACACAGCCTCCTCTAAACGCATCATTCTTACGCTGCAACAAACTGTCCAGGGAAATCTTGAGGAGCTTGTTTGTTCGTCCCGACTCCAACACGGTGTCTTACACAGGAGGAGGGACGTTATCGCTTTGATACTTGGGAGGAAATAAAGAGACTGCCTCGCTGTGGGCCTGAATCAGGATTTGCCATAAAAAGGACTATTTAATGCAGTCGTCTTAGGGTGATTTTAAGGTTTTGGGTAGAGCCCGACTGATGTATCGGCAGGGACGATATTTTAGTCCAATAAATGCGTTTGGGGACATATCGGTATCAGCGGTAATTGGCCCATCATTAGGGCTGATGTTAACTAATTTTCATCTTTAAAATGCTGGGAACAAGTAGGCCTGCCACAATAAATCAATTAATCGCATGATAAATGAAAATTATCTTCATTTATCGGCTTTATCGCTTCTTTGTCTCTCTCTTTCTATTGAAGACACTGGATGACAAACGGCTCAACTCCGGTGCTCTTCACTGACCCCTCCTTTTTCTCTTTTCTCGTTAAAATCAGTTTGAACCGTCCAAAATCACGTTTTTGGATCGTTAAAGGCAGCAAAGCTGAGAAGCTAAGCTACGAGCTAAGCTAACAGGCCGACCTCGGGGGGGAAAAAAACTTTTGTCTTGTCGATGCTTCAAGATTCACGGTCGAAACCCGTGCCTTCATGTAAAAAGTTGTTTTTCTCTGCAAAAAGATTTTTTAAAATTAAAAGCTTTGTGTGAAAAATGCTATGCTAAAGAGCTCAAATCACACCGAGCGTTGTCATTTTAAGAACTGAGAAAAGGAAGGAGAGACAGCCCGTGTCACGTCAAGGGGCCTCCCTCCCATTTTTCTTAGAGATACGCTGCTCGCTCCCTCACTATCCATCCTTCGGTTCAAACTGTCTTATACTGACATCCAGTGGTCAACAAAGGTACTACATGCAAAACAAATTGAAATTTTCATCTAAAATTTGACAATAATGACTAATTGTCATATTTCAAATAATATTATCGTTTATCGCAATAAGTTCAGAGACAATCGCCCAGCAAAATTTGTTATCATGACAGGCTTAGGAACAAGCCACGCCCTTACTTGCAAATAGCATAATTGTACAATGTATCCAGTAGAGGGCGCATGAGGACTTCTTTCAATCCTGGCCATTAGGAACACACAGCTGAAGCAGCAAGCAATCCCGTGTAGCGTATTTTGCTTAACAGAGCATGGTAAGTTTATTGTAAATGATCTGTAAAACAAGACAAATCAACAATAATAAATTCTCTTTGAATCCGTTTGCCATTAGCTTCGTGCCTCTCATGTTAGCAAGCTAACGTTTAGATCACCTAGCATAGGATATTGCCTTGTAAAACTTTATCCAGATCAATAAAGATTCAATGTGTCTGCTGACTTCCTTACATAAAGAACTTTACTAATTGGCTTTTCTATGCATGTGAATGTTCCTGTAAAGTGCCCTGAGACACTTTGCTGTGATTTGGTGCTATATAAATAAACTGAATTGAATTTTATCAAATCTAATGTAGATGTAAAATATATCCGTGTCAGTAACGTTATCTTTGTCGTCCTCGGTGAAATGCATTGTTTGACTTCTCTACAAAGAAAAATAATCTCTGCTGCGTTCAGTATTAATTAGACCTTCACCGTACGGGACTGTTTAAACAACGAACAGGGTGTTTCTTTGTTTGATTTATATTTTTGTAACACACTTGATAACTTTATGGTGAATAGTGGTGGATAGAAAATGTGAGCACATGTTGGGAAGACCGTTTCAAGACTTGGTGTTGAAACAGGTTTAAAAGTAAAACCAAAACAGTCCATGCTCAAAAATCCAGGTGTACAATCCAACAATTTTCAGTCAGGTCATCTGGACAGTTTCTTTTTGTGCTGAAACGTTTCACCTTCCATCCAGAAGGCTTCATCAGTCAAGAAAACGCACAACACAAAACTGATTCTTCTCCCAAACAGCTTACTCCAAAGTGGAACAAACCAGTTATGTTGGTGCTAAGATGGTGTCTTTGGCACGCCCCTTCCTCTTGTGCCGGCCCTCTTTCTCGTCGACAGTCATGTCAAACTGGTTCAAAACCAAACAAGTCCATGCTCAATAATCCAGACTGATGAAGCCTTCTGGATGGAAGGTGAAACCTTTCAGCACAAAAAGAAACTGTCCAGACCTGACTGAAAATTGTTGGTTTGAAATTAGATTTTTTGGGGGCTGGACAAAGCTCAAAACTTTTTAGCCAACACAACTGTTTATCGATTATTGGCATTAGCTTTCCAGTATCGGTATTGGCGATAGCCAAAATGTCCATATTGGTCAGGCTCTAGTTTCGTGGTATTGGTATCAAATGGCAGCAGTCGACCCTTCTTGGCATTGATGCAAAAGCAACTAAACTTAAAACTGTCTCTAAACTTAAAAAAAAAGCTTAGCCTCTTTATTTAAATGATTGGGTTTTAGGTATTTGCTTGTAATGGATTAATACAGTATCTTCCAACATACTTAAAATTAATGACTGTTCTCGAATGATCACTCTGTCAACGTTTTTCCTTCGACGCTCGTTACGGTCCATTCGGTGGCTGCCACTGCAGCCTGAGGCGTTCACCCCGAGAGCCTTTCAGTACGTACTAAATAAAACGGACTCTGTTGTTGTTATCCCTCAGCATCCAGGGCGTGGTGTAGTCTTCCAACCACATTTCTCCACTTCTGCTGCCAGCTCACTGTGTCCAAGCATTTTTCTTTCACAAGCTTTATTGACTGTGTCCTCCCACGGGAGTGTGAAGACCCAAATTTGCTGCTCTGTGTCTTGCCACAACATCAGGTCGCGCCCTGACTCCCCGGCTCGCTGCTTCCTGAGGGATTATCAAATACCTGTACTTAACTGGGCTGCTCGATCTTGTCGTTGGGATAAATTAGCTGCTCTCTCAAGTCGATTTACGTTGACAAATCTTCATATTTTTCTTTGGACGTTGGTCTTAAACTTTATCATTTGCGCGCTTTTTATTTATTTTGCTGCTGCGTTTCCCACAAAACAAAGGAAAGAATAAAATCTTCAAAAAGTGTGTTGTTTGTTGCTGTATGCCTAGTGTTTTATTTGCTTGTGAATTTTTGTGATTGCAGGAGTTGTTTGTTTGTTATACCGATTTGTTCATTTTGGTTCGCAGAAAATGATCCAATAATCTTGACTTTTTGAAGCCAATAAATTATTTTAAATTCATATGTTCTCTTCTTCCGTTTCCTCCAAGTGAGCTGCGACCCTCCCCGTCCTCGTCTCCGTGCACCTGCATGAGCTGTGAGCAGCCCCGGCCTGTTGGAGAGCTGCTTCGCTCGGCGACTGCGCTGCGTTAGGAGACCCGATGGCTGCCGGCCCTTCATCTCCCTCCGCAGGCCGCAGGCTGCTGGAGTCGCTAACTGTGGCCATGGTGGTGCTGCTGGGTTCTGGGCTGGGGTCAGCCCTGGGTCAGCAGGTCTACACCAACACGTGGGCTGTCCACATACCTGGAGGTCCGGGGGAAGCTGATCGAGTTGCCCAAAAACACGGTTTTGTCAACCATGGCCATGTGAGTACGTCACCGGTTTTGGATCTTCATTTCAGCGCCGTGTATGCGGCTGTACAGACTTTAGTTGGGAAAGCTGGAAAACCACTCGTTGCATAAATGTAAAACCAGTTTGGTTTTGACTATGCAAATAAGGGACACACCTGGAACGCTTAATATAAGAAGACGCGCTTTACCGTCATCACCGTGCGTCTGTCTGGCTCAACTGTTATTATTGTAACACCACCTGAACGTATTGATACGATCTGTTTAAAGCCTTTTTTGAATAATTAATTTGTGATGTTTCATTCTGTATGTTCATTGTACTTGGTCAGCTCAGCTGTCCGGGAGCACGGTGCCGTTATTCCTTTTAACGCTCGTCTTTCTAGACGCAAAGCCTAAAAAGGTTAAAAACAGCAAACATGGACATGAGTATATTTGTATCTTTTTGTGTGTGTGTATGTGGGTGGGTGTGCACTGTAGCCACCTTGCATTGATGTTTTGTTCCACTCCTTTATTGCCACAAAAAGGAAATCTTCTCCAGGTGTATCATTGATCGTGGTGTTGTCTGGCTGTGGCTTTGTTTAGAGCTGGAAGCTCTTCTCAGGTTTAAGTCACGAGATAAGGTGTGTTCTTTCTTCATTGTTTAGTATGGCATTATATGTGTTTCCTTTGTTTCAAAATGCTGGTGAACAAGTTATCCAGTAGTCTTGAAAGTCTTTGTACGGTTCAGGGAACAGATCTGAACAGTGCTTTTGGAGATCACCTTTAAAATAAAGGTGATGCGAAATGAGCGAAACACTGTAAAATATCTTAAACAAGATAAAAGTCTCAGTCTCCCGTTTCACACAGGATGTTGTAAATGAGTTATTCAGAGAGCGTCTGTGCAACGTCAGGACAAGAAACAAATGTCTTGCAAATCTGTGGGAGCCGAGTTAATCTACATTAGAGCTGCATTCGGGCCCAAGAAATCTGACCCGGTCCCAGCACGTAGCCATCATCTCAGAACCCGATTGGACGAATTGACAATTACAGGCCCGAACCAGAACCCCTTGACTGCTTATATAGTTAACGGTCGGCGGACGTGCACGGCTGAATAAAAGAGACAGGAGATCGGAGCTGAGGGGGTGTTTGTCCTTTCATGGCCATCAAAGCGCATTAAACCCCTGCTTCTGCCTGCATTCTGCATTATTCAGACACGGACCATGCTCTGACATGTCTGCTTTGGGATCTCACCTGTTTGGGTCGTCGGCTGTGCGCTCCGCTGACTACAGCGGCTGAACGTCCATTTGGGCCATGGATCGCTTCCTGGCAGTAGTGGTAGTCCCATCTGAAGCTTAACTGAACTTTATTTTACCTCTTTCAAGGCCGGTCAACTCGCGGTGAAATGGTGGAAGTATGGCAAGCCATGTTGCCATATAATTGGATCGCGACACAATCAAAAGCCCGACACCGACCTGGCCCGCCCATCCAGCACATTATCATGGCCCAGGTTAGAAATGACCGCTCTAATCTACATGAGTAATTGAGTTTTTTTTTTTTTCCTGAGCTCCTTCTGTGTTTTTAAGATTGCTCTTAAAACAGCCGTACTTTTCCAGGCTCAGCTGGTGAGTTTGGGATAATGTTTTTCCTGTGTGTTAATGACGTTTTCCTCCTTTACGGCTTCCTGTTTGAATTCGCTGGATGCTGATATCATTTCACATCGTCAGCTCCTCCCTTTAGAACTGAACTTGGGTTAAATGAGTTTATTCTTCAGGGAGATGTTGGAGACGTTTTATTCTGTTTAATTATAGAGTCTTGTTTTGTCCTGCACATGATTCAGAATCAAAATCAATATTGTGCATTAATGTAATCATGTGTTCTCACAGTAAAAGTCATAAATGGTGCAGAGCTTTCAATTCCTTAATAAAAGTTTTTCAGATTGCGTTACAAATCAACAACTTAGTAAAAATTTCTGCCTGATTTGGGGGATTTTTCTGCCAATACGGAGGAATACATCAAATAAGTTACAGGCAGAACTGATAGCATTTTTTTTTTCTTATATTAAAACAATTTAGAGATATTTGAGCTTCTGATCTTTAATGTTGTAGCTTTTTACAAAATGATCCTTGCGTCTAATAAACCAGAGAACAAGCATCTTTATTCAGCTTAAATCTGTAGACTCGTCGCTCTTCAGGCAGCAGGCGTCTGCTCGGCACCATATGGCCTCACCGGTCGTGACTGGGGACGTTGTTTGTGCTCTGTATCATCGCATGAACACTAATGAGTAATCCTACGCACTTTAATCCCTTAACTATGTATTTGCTGTGGACAGCAAGGAGCGCAAACAAGGCAATTACACCCAGGTGTTTGCACAACGGCACTCTGGAGAGGAGTTTTTGTGCGATTTGGTCTGCCTCAGCAACTTGAGTTAAGCTTTTTATGATCATTTGAAGACGTGAAAGTAGACTATCATGTCTGGATTGACGAGCGAACCTTCATAATAATCTGAAACAGAAAAAACAAAAAGGCAAAGAAGGGTTTTAATCTAATGAAGCAGCTTTAATAAGGAGATATCCAGGAAGATCCTGAGCAAAGACTCCGGCTCTCTCAAGCCTGAAACATGAAGTGAAGTGAAAACAGATGTTCCAGGTTTTAACTCAAAGCCATTATCCCGCTTATTATTCTTGCTCCATAACTTTGATCTACCCTGCATGCATTTTTTAAAAGGTGGGCTAATTTGCCCTGTTATGACCAACCGCACTGTTTCAAACATTCAACCAGGTGAACCTCACCTAATTGCTTCTCCAGGGGATAATCTCTGACAGCCGTCTTGTGCTGCTGATGAATCCCACCATTTCCTGATGTGACTGGCTGCTGGCGCCACATGAAGCGAACTTCATGTATCGTAGAGAAATTCACGAGAGGAATGACTTTCATTACCAAAACACTGTTGGTCTTTTCAAGCAGCTTGTGTGGTGTTGAAGTAGAAAGAGCAGAATAAAAAAGAAAAAATGCAAAAGTTTCTCAGGATGAGCCTGTTCTACTGTTGCAATATGAGCAGATAATGAATTGGAGCTTGGAAAATTGATGTTTTTTTTTTTTTTTTTTTGCCATTTTCTTTAGTATCAGCCAGATAAGTGACTAAATATTTTTAATAAAAATGCTTGTTTGTTGATTTGACTCTGGCTTTCAGAGGATTAAGTTCAAGTCAAGTTTCTTTATGGTCATTCACATCACGTGGTACATGAGGTGGAACAAAATTATGTACACAAGGACCCAGTTGCATCCCAAAATAGCAAAAAATAAAGTGTAAAAATAAAACGGTATATGTAGTGGACTAGGCCCATGTCAAAAACTAAGTCTAAGGTCAAAATCTTGACCTTAAGAACCTTGTGGGACAGGAACTGTCATTTCATTCATTTGAACTCAGAAATACAGGTTCACCCATCCTGAGACTTTCTTTCTTGAAGATTCAAGTGAAAAGAACACTCTCTTTTTATTATCATTACTATTTTACAAATATTGATAATCAAAGTGTCTTAGTTCAAACCATTTTAGATGTTGCAGTGCACTAATCAATTTTATTAACTGAGTAATGATTTTTATTCTCATGTCAAAGCTGTTACAGAATAATTATGCATTTTCTGATTTCTGCCTTTGAGTGAGCAAGTGTGCGTTTCCAAGGTTGGAGTCAAACGAAAAACAAGTTGTTGAACGAACTGTCATGTTTTTTAGAATCCTCTCAGACGTAAATAGAGAAGTTTTAGCACCTGTTTCTGAAACGCGCCAAAACAAAACTCTCTCTGTCTGTGAGAACATTTCTGATCTGTTTCATAACAATTCTCGCTGTCTCTAACCTCTTACGTCACAAAACACACCCCGTCTGGTCGTTTCTGACCAATGAACAAATCCCAAAAGTGAACCGGGAAAGAGTCTTTAAAATGTCAGTACTTCCTGGTCTAGTCAGTTCTGATGGAGTGCTGATGGAGTTCTGATGGAGTGCTGTTGGAGTTCTGCTGGATACACAGTCCAACCAGTTCTGTTCATGTCTCTGCTCGGATGCTGTTTGATGTGGATGTTACTGACATGACAACAAAGCTCTTCCGAGTTCCATGGGATTATAACATTTTCCACTGAGGTGAATATGTGTCGAACAGAGCCTCGCCATTACTTCGGACGAGTAACAGCATCCTACTGAGACGCTGAAAGGGTGCGTTAAACGGAATCTCACCTGAGACATCTCCAGGTAAAGGAGCCGATTTCATCACCTAAGTGTACTGTAAGGAAAAGCTGAAGAAAGCCGGAGAGTGTCGATTCTGGTGAACACTTAATTTCCCTCACATACCATCTTAACTCCCTCTAAACTTCTTTCCATCTTTAAACTTTTCTATCAAGTAGAAATTCTTCCAGATATTTTAGAAATGTCTGTGTAAAAATGCTCACCCACATTCATGTGGGTAAAAGATCATAGTTGTACAGTTTTCAGAAATGTCTGTGGTGAAGCAACGGAAAAATCATGGCCGTATGATTTTTCCTGATTGATTGCTTATGTTGTTATTTTCATAATTTGCCAAATTAATGTAAATGTTTGATGTTAAATTTTGATTCTGTAAATAAATGACCGCATTCATTTTGATGGGTCAAATATAAATGACGTCTCACGTTTGCATTTCCTTAAATTCAATGCACGTTTTATTCAGTCCAGAAAAATGAGGAATCCGTGTTAAATGATGAATATATCCCAGCATCTGTTCATCTACATATACAAGGATCTAAGATATACACAAAAGCCCTATTTGAACGGGATTAATTTTAACCTAGGGACCACATGTAATAAATTACTCCCCAACGTCTGCTTTTTATGTGGTGCATTCGCACGGGATAACCAAAGCCTGAGATCTAGTGTTTTGGAGCTGTCAACCCGGAGCCCGACCCAGATTCGGACCGGGCCGGTCCATAATAATGTGCTTAATCGCCGTGCCGGTCTCAGACTTTGATGCTGTTTTCCAAATCATACGGCACAAATAAAACTAAATAAGAAT